AGTTTTGACCCCTTGTCCGTAGACTTTTTGCCGAACCGTCACCGGCCCTCGTGTTCTATCGCCATAAGGCACCATCGTGCCAAATTTGACGCGCCTGCGGCGCCGGGAAGTGCCCTATCGGGCACCTGACCACTTTGCTTTATATATATAGATATATAGATATATATATATATATATATATATATACATATATATATATATATATATATATATACACACATACCATACATATATATATACATATACATATATATATATATATATATATATATATATATATATATATATATATATATATATATATATATATATATATATATATATATATATATATATATACTAGGCATACTGCCTAGCTTCGCTTAGGTTTTCAAAAACATTTGATAATTTGAATAGTAATTATTAGGTGATGGATGAGGCGTGGAGTGCTTAAATGTAAACAGTAATGCTAATTTTAGAGAAGATGTTGTAGGCCTATGCTCTTTAACATCAGCATCCAGAGAAAGTGTTTGAAAGTACGCAATTTATAACTAAGATGGAAATAGAACTACAGAGGTTCCATGAAAAGTATATCTCATAATTTATATTACATTGACTTTAAAAATTAATTTTTTTATTTAAATATGATACGTAGCTTAATTAATAACTTATTTTTATCTAAAACAAATGCTATACTTTGTCGTTGTCTGTTTCTGTTTAAAATAGTATACAATTATTTGAAAAATATTTATTTAAAAAGGTTACCTCCCTTGGAAATTAACCGAATGACGTATCTCTGTGTTTACTTTTTTTTAAAACAGTTACTATGCTTATATAAGAAAATACGATATATAAACATATTTAACGACTACAATAGCTTTTTCCGACGGGATTAAAGTTTTTTTGTTACCCTCCAGGGTCGGTCTACGACCTCAAATAATATTAACGGGATCGATCGTCAAATTATTTATATATATCTCATATAAGGAGAATTTCACTCGCGGTCATCTTTTAGCACTGGTCGAGGGCTTTGAGTCTGACCAACAGTTTTTCCATACGGCCTAGTCATCTATAGAAGTGTATGCAAAACATTAGCATGATGTACAGAGGTTAAGTAACGTAAAAATTGTGTTGAAATTACCCTGTTTTTTTTCCATAAAATACAAAGATTATATAGGGAAATACGACTGGTCAGTTTTGACCCCTTTACGAAGTTTTCCCAGATATGCCGAGTTTTTTGTGACACCCCAAGGCGTTCTCCTACCACTTCACAAAATATCAAGGGGGGTCGTCGGAGGAAATTTTTTCTTGTAATAGAGCTCAAATAAAGAGAATTTCACTCGCGGTCACATTTTAGCCCTCGTCGAGGGCTTTGAGTGTAACCGACAGTTTTCCCTAAAGGTCAAGCCATTGACCTAAGAGTATGCAAAAATTTAGCCAGATATACTGAGTTTAAGTACCCTAAAGCCTGCGTTGAAATGACCCTCTGTTTTTCCAATAAAATACAAAGATTATATAGGGAAATACAACTGGTCAGTTTTGACCGCTTTACGAAGTTTTCCCAGATATGCCGAGTTTTTTGTGACACCCCAAGGCGTTCTCCTACCACCTCACAAAATATCAAGGGGGGTCGTCGGAGGAAATTTTTTTTCGTAAAAGAGCTCATATAAAGAGAATCTCACTCGCGGTCACATTTTAGCCCTCGCCGAGGGCTTTGAGTGAAACCGACAGTTTTCCCTAAAGGTCAAGCCATTGACCTAAGAGTATGCAAAAATTTAGCCAGATATACTGAGTTTAAGTACCCTAAAGCCTGCGTTGAAATGACCCTCTGTTTTTCCAATAAAATACAAAGATTATATAGGGAAATACAACTGGTCAGTTTTGACCCCTTTACGAAGTTTTCCCAGATATGTCGAGTTTTTTGTGACACCCCAAGGTGTTCTCCTACCACCTCACAAAATTTCAAGGGGGGTCGTCGGAGGAATTTTTTTTTCGTAATAGAGCTCATATAAAGAGAATTTCACTTGCTGTCACTTTTTAGCCCTCGTCAAGGGCTTTGCGTGTAACCGACAGTTTTCCCTAAAGGTCAAGCCATTGACCTAGGAGCATGCAAAAAATTAGCCAGATATACTGAGCTTAAGTATCCTAAAGTCTGCGTTGAAATGACCCTCTGTTTTTCCCATAAAATACAAAGATTATATAGGGAAATACAACTGGTCAGTTTTGACCCCTTTACGAAGTTTTCCCAGATATGCCGAGTTTTTTGTGGCACCCCAAGGTGTTCTCCTACCACCTCACAAAATTTCAATGGGGGTCGTCGGAGGAATTTTTTTTTCGTAATAGAGCTCATATAAAGAGAATTTCACTCGCGGTCACTTTTTAGCCCTCGTCGAGGGCTTTGAGTGTAACCGACAGTTTTCCCTAAAGGTCAAGCCATTTACCTATAAGCATGCCAAAACTGAGCCAGATGTAAAGAGGGTAAGTGCCTTAAAATCCGTTTTGAAATGACCCTCTGTTTTCCCCATAAAATACAAAGATTATATAGGGAAATACGACTGGTCAGTTTTGACCCATTTCCCGATTTTTCCCGGACATGGTGAGTTTTTTGTGACACCCCAAGGCGTTCTCCTACCACCTCACAAAATATCAAGGGGGGTCGTCGGAGGAAATTTTTTTTCGTAATAGAGCTCATATAAAGAGAATTTCACTCGCGGTCACTTTTTAGCCCTCGTCGAGGGCTTTGAGTGTAACCGACAGTTTTCCCTACAGGTCAAGCCATTTACCTATAAGCATGCCAAAACTGAGCCAGATGTAAAGAGGGTAAGTGCCATAAAATCCGTTTTGAAATGACCCTCTGATTTCCCCATAAAATACAAAGATTATATAGGGAAATACGACTGGTCAGTTTTGACCCATTTCCCGATTTTTCCCGGACATGCCGAGTTTTTTGTGGCACCCCAAGGTGTTCTCCTACCACCTCACAAAATTTCAAGGGGGGTCGTCGGAGGAATTTTTTTTTCGTAATAGAGCTCAAATAAAGAGAATTTCACTCGCGGTCACTTTTTAGCCCTCGTCGAGGGCTTTGAGTGTAACCGACAGTTTTCCCTAAAGGTCAAGCCATTTACCTATAAGCATGCCAAAACTGAGCCAGATGTAAAGAGGGTAAGTGCCATAAAATCCGTTTTGAAATGACCCTCTGTTTTCCCCATAAAATACAAAGATTATATAGGGAAATACGACTGGTCAGTTTTGACCCATTTCCCGATTTTTCCCGGACATGGCGAGTTTTTTGTGACACCCCAAGGCGTTCTCCTACCACCTCACAAAATATCAAGGGGGGTCGTCGGAGGAAATTTTTTTTCGTAATAGAGCTCATATAAAGAGAATTTCACTCGCGGTCACTTTTTAGCCCTCGTCGAGGGCTTTGAGTGTAACCGACAGTTTTCCCTACAGGTCAAGCCATTTACCTATAAGCATGCCAAAACTGAGCCAGATGTAAAGAGGGTAAGTGCCATAAAATCCGTTTTGAAATGACCCTATGATTTCCCCATAAAATACAAAGATTATATAGGGAAATACGACTGGTCAGTTTTGACCCATTTCCCGATTTTTCCCGGACATGGCGAGTTTTTTGTGACACCCCAAGGCGTTCTCCTACCACCTCACAAAATATCAAGGGGGGTCGTCGGAGGAATTTTTTTTTCGTAATAGAGCTCATATAAAGAGAATTTCACTCGCGGTCACTTTTTAGCCCTCTTCGAGGGCTTTGAGTGTAAACGACAGTTTTCCCTGAATGTCAAGCCATTGACCTAGGAGCATGCAAAAAATTAGCCAGATATACTGAGCTTAAGTATCCTAAAGTCTGCGTTGAAATGACCCTCTGTTTTTCCCATAAAATACAAAGATTATATAGGGAAATACGACTGGTCAGTTTTGACCCCTTTACGAAGTTTTCCCAGATATGCCGAGTTTTTTGTGACACCCCAAGGTGTTCTCCTACCACCTCACAAAATTTCAAGGGGGGTCGTCGGAGGAATTTTTTTTTCGTAATAGAGCTCATATAAAGAGAATTTCACTCGCGGTCACTTTTTAGCCTTCGTCGAGGGCTTTGAGTGTAAACGACAGTTTTCCCTAAAGGTCAATCCATTGACCTAGGAGCATGCAAAAAATTAGCCAGATATACTGAGCTTAAGTATCCTAAAGTCTGCGTTGAAATGACCCTCTGTTTTTCCCATAAAATACAAAGATTATATAGGGAAATACAACTGGTCAGTTTTGACCCCTTTACGAAGTTTTCCCAGATATGCCGAGTTTTTTGTGACACCCCAAGGTGTTCTCCTACCACCTCACAAAATTTCAAGGGGGGTCGTCGGAGGAATTTTTTTTTCGTAATAGAGCTCATATAAAGAGAATTTCACTCGCGGTCACTTTTTAGCCCTCGTCGAGGGCTTTGAGTGTAACCGACAGTTTTCCCTAAAGGTCAAGCCATTGACCTAGGAGCATGCAAAAAATTAGCCAGATATACTGAGCTTAAGTACCCTAAAGTCTGCGTTGAAATGACCCTCTGTTTTTCCCATAAAATACAAAGATTATATAGGGAAATACAACTGGTCAGTTTTGACCCCTTTACGAAGTTTTCCCAGATATGCCGAGTTTTTTGTGACACCCCAAGGTGTTGTCCTACCATCTCACAAAATTTCAAGGGGGGTCGTCGGAGGAATTTTTTTTTCGTAATATAGCCCATATAAGGCGCCGGTCAGTCGAGGTCAGTTTTGACCCCCTCTCCGTAGACTTTTTGCCGAACCGTCACCGGCCCTCGTGTTCTATCGCCATAAGGCACCTTCGTGCCAAATTTGACGCGCCTGCGGCGCCGGGAAGTACCCTATTGGGCACCCGACCACTTTGCTTTATATATATAGATATATATATATATATATATATATATATATATATATATATATATATATATATATATATATATATATATATGAGTATATTAATATATCCTTGATGATATTCAGTGTCTTGCAATGTGGCTGTGGTCGACGATTCTGATGTCAGCAGAGGATGTGAGCTCTACGCATGTCCGTCAACAACCTCGTGTAACCTGACACTTCAAGCCGGACAACTCGTGTTTGTCCGTCAGCCGCCGGGTCAAGTCAACGACAGCGACGTCCTGACCGACGACAGCAGCACCTTCCCGACGTCGGCACCTCTCGCTGAGGGACCTGTTACACAGGGACCTGCCACACAGGGACCTGCCACACAAGGACCTGAGGGATCTGCCACACAGGAACCTGCCACACAGGGACCTGCCACAAGGGTACTGGGGGTGATCCCCTCCGCTGGCGACGACTTGCTGACCCCCCTCCCCACCACGCTCAGCACGCTCACCTCCCCCAAAGCCACGCCCCTGGCGGACTACTTGACTCCGCCCACCGCCGAGATGACCGCTGTCAATCAACAAGCGTCCAGCATCAACTCCTTGACTCTCACTGACTCGCCGACGGCTGGGTTTGAACTCCCGACCTACCAGACCACGACCATCACTACGGTTCCCATGGTAACCGAAAACACCTCGACACAGCCCAGCCTAGCAGCCAATGACTCTGACGCCGAGGGAGAGTCATACATCAGCGGCGTGGACGCTCGCGTCAGCCAAAACAACTCCTTAGAAGGTAGTGAACAGTCTATCGCTACAACATCCCAGCTTTACAACATTGCCCCATCATTTACACCCACGCTCTTATTTACAACAACGACGGTGGAGATCACTGACGTCAACGCCACTAACGTCGTTTCAGCATCGTCATCGCTTGACGTCACAGAGGTTACTTCCGGTGACGTCATCCTCGTCTCGCAAGCTCCGAACAGCATGGTTGAAGCTATTCAGCTGACGATGCAGCTATCGACCACCGTGCCGCTAGACACACTCTACTACTCGGCCACTGTTGGTCCAGGAAGTGACGTAGCTGAAACGGAGCCAACAAACTCTTCGCTCTTCAATGACGTAGTGTCACAATCAGCACCAGGTAGGTTACTGTAGAGTGGAGATATTGCTATGTTTTAAACAGGGTTTCTTTCTGACATTGTTCTCCGGGAACATGGGAGGCGACTGTTCTTACAAATTTAGTTGAAGTGTGTCGTCATTGTGACGGAGGTAAGGGTATGTGTGTGTGAGGGAGGGGGGGGGGGGAAGGGGGTGGCGTCTCTTTGCAACGTTGTTTTTTTTTAAAGCTGGACAAAATTTGTATAAAACTGCTGAGCTTAAGTGGGCTTACTCTTTTACTACAATGATGATAGTACTCCGTTTTTGCTGATTTCTTCTTTTATTGTTAAAGACATTTTTTTTTAAATCAAGGGGAGTAATTCCCTAAAGCGTACATCTGAATCAATTATTTGTTGCTTCCCTTTGAACTTTAGTTAATGTCTGTTCATACTTGAAAACTTCTTTAGTTATATCTTACGGATTCTTATAATTCTGTTATTTCGGCAATTTATTAAAAACATGTACAATATATGTGACATGTAATGGAAAAGTTACCGTTACTGTCTATTGACCGTACCCTCGTTCCCCCCTCCCAACAGTGGTTGTCATTGTTGGATATTACAATTGTAGGTACAGTCGTTGTTGGGTATTACAGTTGTAGGTACAGTCGTTGTTGGGTATTACAGTTGTGTGTACAGTCGTTGTTGGGTATTACAGTTGTAGGTACAGTGGTTGAGCATTTCAGTTTTAATAAAGAAAATCAGTGGAGTACTATTATAGTACCAAACACAGTACGAACAGAATACCAAGAGAGTAACAAGAGAGTACTAAGAGAGTACCAACACAGTACCAAGAGAGCACTAACAACATCACATTACTTAAAACATCACTATCACAGCCCCATCACTGTATCAGCAAAAAAAAAAAAAACGTCGATACTATACTTTTTAAAGTCGAACTGAGCGATTAAAAGAACGAATGTACAAGAAAAATGTTTTTCTTTTCTTTGAAAGCATAATATATCCGGTCTTCTCGAATCATTTATTTCATGTGTAGGCTGTTTCCGTGAAAGAAAGCTTAAGCTGCAAAATTAAACATCAGCAATGTATCTTATATGTTGACTTTTTTCTAATAACGTGTAGGAAGATGCTAAAATCATTTCACTTTAATGGACTACCCACATGTTTTGTGTATTTAAAAAAAACCAAACTTTCTGAAGTTGGTTATATTGGGAATAAATGAAGAAATCTGATTCTGAGAGCTATTATATGGGCGTCTGTATGGGTAAGGGGGGTGGGTTGTTGAGGGCAGTATACCCCCCCCCCATTACCACATGATGGAAACTTATGAGCACATTTTACACTTAGTTTATTTCTATCAAATTTTGTGACTCATATGTGCATCACGTATGTGGCTAAAGCAGGGAAAGCATTGTTTATGGATTGCAATTACTTCAATCTTATGGATAACATTGACACTGTGGATAACATTGAAAAAAAACTGTTTTATGGATAGCTTTGACAAGATGTTTTATGGATAATATCGAAACTGTTATATGGATAACATTGACAAACTGTTTTATGGATACCATTGGCAAACTGTTTATGGATACCATTGACATTGTGAACAACATTGAAAAACTGTTTTATAGATAACGTGGACAAACTATTATATGGATAATATTGACAATCTGTTTTATGGATACCATTTATATCAAGCTTGAATAACTAAGATAACGTTTTCAATCAGTTTTCTCTATCTCTCACTACTTATTGCTTGGGAATAAATTTTCACTCAGACATGTCACTTTGACCCGAGCATAAAACCAGTCTGTTAAAGTTCACGCCACGTCTGTCTTAGATTTTTCAACAGGAATTTTAATTTCAATTAATTATTTACCCTAGAATTTTTTTAAAAATAACAATTAATTATCGGATTAAATATATCTATTAAATATGTTCTGTTATATTTTGTTATAGATTTTGACCTCGTGACTTAAGTAATTCTACATGTAATGAGCAGGCTCACTCACGTTGTTTTGTTACTCCGCAGGTAATGGGTCTCACGACTCAACAGTTTCAGCAAGCCAACAACCAACAGATATTGAACCAACGGGGTATTACACTGACCAGGTGACCGAGCTACCCACTAGCCCGCCGAGTGACCAAGTGACCGGACAACCTAGCATCCCGCCAACTGAGTCACCAACCGTCCAACCAACTACCCAATCAAGTGGTCAGCCGGTCCTATTATCTAGCGACCTAGTCACTGATCCACCAAGTATCCGACCCACTGACCAACAAACGGGCGTACCAAACGAGGAAGCGGAAGAAGAAGCGACATTATTAGGCGGGAAATCGGCCAACGAGTCAGGAACTACAACGGTACTTAATTATCACGGAACGTCCGAGGCGATGATTGCGATTTTAATTAGTGTTTTGGCTTTGGGTTGCGTCTTTGTGTTGACCATTGTTGGTGTGTTGGGGAAGAGAATCTACGACGGCTACCAGAAGAGGCATTATTCTAGATTGGACTACTTGATTAATGGCATGTATAATTAATTAGTTGTCAGATGGATTGATGGCATTGTGACAGACAGCTTGTAAGAATGACAGACAGCTTGCATGATTAACAGACCGCATGAATGACTGGCTAACGGCTTTTATGACTGACTGACTGACGGTATGTAAGGTTGACAAACGACGCGTAAGACTGACTTACAGACAGCATATATGATTAACAGACATACATATTATTGACAGGCAGAGAACATATTGTTATGTTATTTCTCACCATATAATTCTCTATGTACATATATATAATCTCGTTTTAACTGATGCGACCAATTCAAGTTTCTTTACAATACATACGAAATACATGTTAATTAATTTTACAAACGACTTAGATGTTTACTAATTTACATGCGACATACATGTCAACTAATTTAAAGTTGAATCGTAATTTATGTGAATTTATTTTCAGCAATGAACATTAAAAAAAAAGATTTATTTTACCACGGTGTCTCAATGTACCATTAGGTTATGCATGCTTTAAAATGCGTAAGTTTGGTAAAATTTGGAACCACCTTAGTTTAATGTTGCACGTGCTCAGAGTTTCTTTCAGGCACCTCATCAGGGGGTCTGCCCCCACCCTACTCAAAGAAAATCAACCGCACCCCCCCCCCCCCCGAACGAAATAATGGAATTTATATGGAAAATATATACTATTACCAGTGTCCGCCTCCCCCCCCCCCAGAAAAAATATATATTTATGATCAGCCCGCTATTTGATGAAAGAAAGTAAAGGTAAATATGTAAGTGTAGATGTAGCTACAGGTGTAATTGAGCAAACCACCTTTGGTTAAATTATCTGTGAATACAAAGCCCTGTTTGACAAAATGCCTCTGGACAACCCTTCGCTGTTGTCAAACTACGTGTGAGCTAATCATCTATGGTCGAAGCATATTAGGTCAACAGCAGCTATGTATATGTGATCGGAAAATATTAGCAATTTATGTTTCTATGCATTTTAGAAAGAGCGGTGGCATTTAAAAAAAATATTTTTATTGAAATATCCAGAATTGAAAAGTATATATTTGTCTCTGTATACACACAGACTCATACACAAATCAGGCATGTAAGAACAAACACACACATACACACATACACACATAGTCATAATCATCATTGCTGAAGGAACTGTGTGGAATTTTTTGTGTGAGCATTTGTTCAATTTGCGCATTGTTCTGTATGCGCATTGTTCTGTGTGCGCATTTTTCTGTTTGCGTAAATTTCTGTATGCGCAAATTTCTGTGTGCGCATTTTTCTTTGTGCGCACTTTTCTCTTGACGCATTTTTCTTGCTGTCCTTATATAAGTAGATTGTTAGACATTGGCCTATGTCAGGGGTCGGCAACCTTTTGAGACGGAAGAGCCAAAAGTTACAATTTTCAAAATTTCCCACTAACATTTTTATTTTAATATTTGATTATTTGATTAGGACTAGGTAAATAAATGTGATTTGTTATTTAAAATAAATATCCATAAATATGAAATAATATTTATTCATATAAAAACATACACATGTTTCGCAATAATAATGCGTTTAGTAATCAAATAAAATAACTATAGGATTATCCCAATCCACTTGAGAAGAAGTTAACTTTTTTTTCTCTCTTTAAAGTAAAGACATCACCGGCTCAGGAGGTGTCTGCCATTAGCCAGTCAGGCCTCAACGCGGCTAACTTTGACTAACTGGCTTGAATATCGGTTTGATAACAGTGTATCGGTCGCTTCTGTCCTTTCGTTCTCACCAGGCTTATTTTCCACCCCACTGAACGGAGGGTAAACTCGTACTCCATAGTCAGTACCCGGCTCAACAGTTGGAAGCTACTACGTCACTCAGGTCAAATTAATGATTACTTACACATAGGGAAATGCATTCTGAATAAAATAACATTTCCCATTTAAAAAAACATTCAAAAAAGTCGGCACTTGGGCAGTGGCAAACATGGGATTGTTATGAGTTTTGAAAACGAAATAATATAACTATTAATATTTGTGCAAGGAGCCGGAGAGCCGCATCTTGACGGCAAAAGAGCCGCATGCGGCTCGCGAGCAGCAGGTTGCCGACCCCTGGCCTATGTCAATTAACATATAGCAATTTAAAACAAAAATTCTTTCTAGTTACTTCCCATTTACAAACTCAATAAAACTATGGGAAACAAACAAAAGGAAAATAAATTAAAATCATCAAAACGACTGAGGGATTCAGCGGCTTAAAATATGTGTATATTTTAATATATAACCACATGTATACAAATTTAGTTGTATAATCGTTGTAAAGATTTTAAATTTTATAGATATTACAATTTTTATTTAAAAGTAACTTAAATGAAAAATCGTTTAATGTTTTAACATTTAAATTTTAAATATTATGAAATGTCCAACGTTAATGCTGTTTGATTTGAATTGATTTTTTGTTGGTTATATTTATAAAAAATTCAAATTTCGACAGGTAATAGATTAATAGATAATTATATATTTTACAGGTATATGAAATTTCACCTGTATATCTGAAACAGTATTCAAGTTATAGGCTTTGGAAAAACCAAAAGTAGAATAAATTTCACTTCCGTTTACCGGAAATCGCTGAAAAGTTGATACAGAACGAACATTTTGATGTCATACTTATTTATAAAATTTCATCAACACAGCTGTAACGGTACTCAAGTTATCGTGTTCACAGACACACACATACACACATACAGACAAACGGACACAATTGCAAAACTAAATTTACTCGCCTCACGAAGGAGTAAAACGTCGAGATTTTGTAAAAATACTTCCTCTACACTTCGTATACGCGAAAGTAAAAATGATGAAGAACAAAAATGTTAATTAATAAAAAAAGTTATGTGGATATACTGACAACCCTCCAAGTTTTGTTCAAAGCAAGATTGGCGAGTCTAAAGACGATGGTTTGCAATCTCATCGAGTAAATCTTTCGCCTTTTACTAGAAACAGTGGAATAGCAATAAATAGTATATATATATATATATATATATATATATATATATATATATATATATATATATATATATATATATATATATATATATATATATATATGTATGTATATATAAAAAACTTTTTTTATGTTATACACATCACACCATCCAACACCACCACCATAACCAAATGTTTAGCGACGCCCCCACCCCACCCCACACCACAACACCCCCCCCCCCCCCCAAAGAAGTCTCCACCTACGTATAGTTTCGCACACTTCTGTTAATGGAATTATTAATATTTAAAAATCTGTTTTCTGGTTAATACAATTTCGAAATGGAATTAAAAGACATAAGAAACAGATTATGTGTTTTTAAAAAAATATTTTTTATTATCTAATTCGTCAAGGTGATTATAAAATAAAAAAAAAAACTTAATTCATTTTATAATGGCCTCTAGGATAAAAAGTCAAGCATTAAATATAATGAATAAGATATTTTTTAAAATACAAAACTAAAGCTCAAAGGAAACCAGTCGAAAATTATTTTTTTGGGTGTTTTTTCATATTTGTAATTTTTTACCGTCTTTAGCTAAAATTTACATAGAACATACAATTATTTTTAATTTATTTTTGTCCAAACACAAATCAAGCATTTGAGATGCAAGACATTTTGCAGTTATTTAGTGACTGTACAAATGAGGTCAGGACAAATGATCTAAGACAAAATATCATAGGCAAATTATCTCACGGACAATTCTTCTCAGGACAAGTCCGTTAAAATCAATCTAAAATCTATACATATTTTGCTGTGATATATTTTGTAACTTATGTTACAACCCTCAGTAATTCTTGAACCTATGACCCCCCATCAGAAGTAAAAAGTCATGACCAAACAAACAAGTTCAGAAGTCGAGTCTTGTTGAACACTTTACACGTTGAGTACATAAAGGTTCATTATCTTGACCATTTCTAAGGCTGCCGTAAAGAATCACCATTTTCCCATATCCCACAAGTACAAGAAAAATCCCATTGCTACTATTTAACACTCAGCGAGAAATCACCCTCACCCCAGTTTTCATATTAAAAGGCAAAAAATTTTATTCGGAAATTTAAAAAAACTAAGAAATCCCTGAATGAAACTATGATCCACCAACCCAAATGGAGTTAGTAACCCCCCGCCCCCCCCCCTCCCACCGGACAACATTTAAAAAATATATAATTTATATAGAAAATATATACATGAATGAGTATCTACCTACGTGATTTTCAAGAGCTCCCCCCCTCCTTTAAATGCTCCACGTCGGAGAAAAAAATGTCTGAAAGAAACCCTAAGGCTGATCTTGAATTCTAAAATTTCAAAACAAATTTAAATAAAGTAAAATGTTTATAGAAGCGACCAATATCAGATTCAGCAAATTACGCTGACATTAAAACTATTCACGTTTTTTGAAAGCAAAGCGTTTTAATGTAAAGAATCTTCACGGTTTAAAAGGATAAAAACAACGCTTTCAATTAATCTTTAAAAAACTCACTGTATTAAATACAATTTAATACATAAATCAAGCAAAAACTTGACATTTCTACCTTGGGTTTTCCCAGAAAAAAATCAATAAAATGTTTCTTTAAGCCTTACATTTTTTAGCAACATATTTTTTAAAATCTAGATGTTTATACAGAAAGTTGAACAATGCTGGCACTTATTGCAAGTTTATTCTAAAGCAGATCTACGGTCCAGACATTCATTATTGTTGTTTATATCTTGCCTTGAGAGCTGGCAGGTATCCGAATATCTAGGTGCTATGAACCCGGTTATCTTAAACTCAGAGGCGTAGCGACCCTTCCCGGCGCCCGGGGACAAACTTTCAATTTGGCGCCCAATAGGGAGCAAATTCGATTTGCACCCCACTCAAACTTTCGATTTGCACCCCCCACCCCCTCAAACTTTCGATTTGCACCCCGCCCCCCCCCTCAAACTGTTTATAATGCAAAAATGCAGCTAAAATGACATTTTAATTTGTTTTTACAACCCATTTTGGCGCCCCCTAAGGTCGGCGCCCGGGGACATATGTAACCCCTGCCCCCCCATCGCTACGCCTCTGCTTAAACTACGCCTATTGTAGGATGCAAAGTATCCGAGTATCTAGGTGCTATGAAACCGGTTATCTTAAACTACGCCTATTGTAGGATGCAAAGTATCATAGTATCTAGGTGCTATGAAACCGGTTATCTCAAACTTCGCCTATTGTAGGATGCAAAATATCCGAGTATCTAGGTGCTATGAAACCGGTTATCTTAAACTACGCCCATTGTAGGAAGCAAGGTATCATAGTATCTTTGTGCTATGAAACCGGTTATCTTAAACTACGCCTATTGTAGGATGCAAAGTATCCGATTTCATTGGAGTTTTGTAGCTAATTATAGAGTAAAATACGTCATTAAAACAATGGCACATATCTGTACACGTTGCAAACCCGGTAACAAGTAGAAATGTATA